CTGGGACTTTTTTCCTGGATTCATTATTTAACATAAAAAAAGTGGGCGGTTGGTGCAATGAGTGACCAAGTTCCCTTTTCTGTGTCGCTTTACAGATTTTGACTATGACTCTAGAGCCTGAAGTAGCCCAGACCTATCTCTTGCCCGAAGATGCATCCCTAGATGATGTGACCAGCATTCGTCTGGAAGTAGTGGGAATTAGCGGGGCCAAGTCAACCAACCTGGATGTTGACATTTTAGGCTGCGTTAAAGGTATGTGGCATTTGACATGTGAGGACAAAGGGAGATGAGCTGATGCGGTATATGACCGAGAAATTGCCACAGGTAAAATATTAAGGTATTTTGGATTGACTGATTTTTCTTGTGTGTTTATCCCAGAACTTTCCACGGGAGCGCCGGCGAGAGACCAGCCGCAGACCGTGCCAACTAAAGTCAAAGTGACCACGACAACTGATGTGACTTCTCCCCTTGGAACAACCACTGAGGAGACAATTACTGTCAAAGCATCATCACCTGCCGCATCGACAACAGCAGGTAAGACTTGTCAACTGATTGTGTGAATCCGAATATGATGGGTCAACTGACGAAGCTTTGTTAATGATCAATTAGTCTTCTTTTATTTCCTCAGAAACTCAGACAACCAGGGTTGTTTCCACCGTGACAGAGAGCACCACTGGTGCCGTCACAACAACGAAAGAAGTCAAAACTACCACCGTTACAACTGCTGCCGGGGAAGAGCTGACCACTGTAAGCACTTCGGTGCCACTTGTTTTCACAACTCCAGGCTACTGCCTAGAACCGATGGACGAACAGGTTGGGCTGGAAGTAGAACAAACAACCGAGGGAAAGGCCACTATTGATGAGACCATGGGAACCTTGAAAGTACCAGCGCCCGTAACGGAGGACAGAGAAAAGACACCAAAGCTTCTGACCAAGTTTTCTAAGCGATCAGTGGTCAAAGGAATTAGGCTGACCAACGTGCACAACGCCGATGGTGTTGCTCCTGATGAGCCAGTGGTGTTGAGTATAATAGTCTCCTACAAGAATCCTGGAGACCAGGATTTCATTGAAGTAGCTAAGGAGAAGACAAGTCAACCGGTTAGTTGTATTACTTTCATGTCAGACTGGATTTTTTTCCCTGGATTCATGATTTAACATAAAAAAAGTTGGCGGTTGGTGCAATGAGTGACCAAATTCAATTTTCTATGTCGCTTTACAGATTTTGACTATGACTCTAGAGCCTGAAGTAGCCCAGACCTATCTCTTGCCCGAAGATGCATCCCTAGATGATGTGACCAGCATTCGTCTGGAAGTAGTGGGAATTAGCGGAGCCCAGTCAACCAACCTGGATGTTGACATTTTAGGCTGCGTTAAAGGTATGTGGCATTTGACATGTGAGGACAAAGGGAGATGAGCTGATGCGGTATATGACCGAGAAATTGCCACAGGTAAAATATTGAGGTATTTTGGATTGACTGATTCTTCTTGTGTGTTTATCCCAGAACTTTCCACGGGAGCGCCGGCGAGAGACCAGCCGCACACCGTGCCAACTAAAGTCAAATTGACCACGACAACTCTTGTGACGTCTCCCCTTGGAACAACCACTGAGGAGACAACTACTGTCAAAGCATCATCACCTGCCGCATCGACAACAGCAGGTAAGACTTGTCAACTGATTGTGTGTATCCGAAAATGCTGGGTCAACTGACGAAGCTTTGTTAATGATCAATTACTCTTCTTTTATTTCATCAGAAACTCAGACAACCAGGGTTGTTTCCACCGTGACAGAGAGCACCACTGGTGCCGTCACAACAACGGAAGAAGTCAAAACTACCACCGTTACAACTGCTGCCGGGGAAGAGCTGACCACTGTAAGCACATCGGTGCCACTTGTGTCCACAACTCCAGGCTACTGCCTAGAACCGATGGACGAACAGGTTGGGCTGGAAGTAGAACAAACAACCGAGGAAAAGGCCACTATTGATGAGACCATGGGAACCTTGAAAGTACCAGCGCCCGTAACGGAGGACAGAGAAAAGACACCAAAGCTTCTGACCAAGTTTTCTAAGCGATCAGTGGTCAAAGGAATTAGGCTGACCAACGTGCCCAACGCCGATGGTGTTGCTCCTGTTGAGCCAGTGGTGTTGAGTATAATAGTCTCCTACAAGAATCCTGGAGACCAGGATTTCATTGAAGTAGCTGAGGAGAAGACAAGTCAACCGGTTAGTTGTATTACTTTCATGTCAGACTGGATTTTTTTCCCTGGATTCATGATTTAACATAAAAAAAGATGGCGGTTGGTGCAATGAGTGACCAAATTCACATTTCTATGTCGCTTTACAGATTGTGACTATGACTCTAGAGCCTGAAGTAGCCCAGACCTATCTCTTGCCCGAAGATGCATCCCTAGATGATGTGACCAGCATTCGTCTGGAAGTAGTGGGAATTAGCGGGGCCAAGTCAACCAACCTGGATGTTGACATTTTAGGCTGCGTTAAAGGTATGTGGCATTTGACATGTGAGGACAAAGGGAGATGAGCTGATGCGGTATATGACCGAGAAATTGCCACAGGTAAAATAGTGAGTTATTTTGGATTGACTGATTCTTCATGTGTGTTTATCCCAGAACTTTCCACGGGAGCGCCGGCGAGAGACCAGCCGCACACCGTGCCAACTAAAGTCAAATTGACCACGACAACTCTTGTGACTTCTCCCCTTGGAACAACCACTGAGGAGACAACTACTGTCAAAGCATCATCACCTGCCGCATCGACAACAGCAGGTAAGACTTGTCAACTGATTGTGTGAATCCGAAAATGCTGGGTCAACTGACGAAGCTTTGTTAATGATCAATTACTCTTCTGTTATTTCATCAGAAACTCAGACAACCAAGGTTGTTTCCACCGTGACAGAGAGCACCACTGGTGCCGTCAAAACAACGGAAGAAGTCAAAACTACCACCGTTACAACTGCTGCCGGGGAAGAGCTGACCACTGTAAGCAAATCGGTGCCACTTGTGTCCACAACTCCAGGCTACTGCCTAGAACCGATGGACGAACAGGTCGGGCTGGAAGTAGAACAAACAACCGAGGGAAAGGCCACTATTGATGAGACCATGGGAACCTTGAAAGTACCAGCGCCCGTAACGGAGAACAGAGAAAAGACACCAAAGCTTCTGACCAAGTTTTCTAAGCGATCAGTGGTCAAAGGAATTAGGCTGACCAACGTGCCCAACGCCGATGGTGTTGCTCCTGTTGAGCCAGTGGTGTTGAGTATAATAGTCTCCTACAAGAATCCTGGAGACCAGGATTTCATTGAAGTAGCTGAGGAGAAGACAAGTCAACCGGTTAGTTGTATTACTTTCATGTCAGACTGGATTTTTTCCCCTGGATTCATGATTTAACATAAAAAAAAGTTGGCGGTTGGTGCAATGAGTGACCATAGTCACTTTTCTATGTCGCTTTACAGATTGTGACTATGACTCTAGAGCCTGAATTAGCCCAGACCTATCTCTTGCCCGAAGATGCATCCCTAGATGATGTGACCAGCATTCGTCTGGAAGTAGTGGGAATTAGCGGGGCCCAGTCAACCAACCTGGATGTTGACATTTTAGGCTGCGTTAAAGGTATGTGGCATTTGACATGTGAGGACAAAGGGAGATGAGCTGATGCGGTATATGACCGAGAAATTGCCACAGGTAAAATATTGAGGTATTTTGGATTGACTGATTCTTCTTGTGTGTTTATACCAGAACTTTCCACGGGAGCGCCGGCGAGAGACCAGCCGCAGACCGTGCCAACTAAAGTCAAAGTGACCACGACAACTCTTGTGACTTCTCCCCTTGGAACAACCACTGAGGAGACAACAACGGTCAAAGCATCATCACCTGTCGCATCGACAACAGCAGGTAAAACTTGTCAACTGATTGTGTGAATCCGAATATGCTGGGTCAACTGACGAAGCTTTGTTAATGATCAATTACTCTTCTTTTATTTCAACAGAAACTCAGACCACCAGGGTTGTTTCCACCGTGACAGATAGCACCACTGGTGCCGTCAAAACAACTGAAGAAGTCAAAACTACCACCGTTACAACTGCTGCCTGGGAAGAGCTGACCACTGTAAGCACATCGGTGCCACTTGTGTCCACAACTCCAGGCTTCTGCCTAGAACCGATGGACGAACAGGTTGGGCTGGAAGTAGAACAAACAACCGAGGGAAAGGCCACTATTGATGAGACCATGGGAACCTTGAAAGTACCAGCGCCCGTAACGGAGGACAGAGAAAAGACACCAAAGCTTCTGACCAAGTTTTCTAAGCGATCAGTGGTCAAAGGAATTAGGCTGACCAACGTGCCCAACGCCGATGGTGTTGCTCCTAATGAGCCAGTGGTGTTGAGTATAATAGTCTCCTACAAGAATCCTGGAGACCAGGATTTCATTGAAGTAGCTAAGGAGAAGACAAGTCAACCGGTTAGTTGTATTACTTTCACGTCAGACTGGATTTTTTCCCCTGGATTCATGATTTAACATAAAAAAAGTTGGCGGTTGGTGAAATGAGTGACCAAATTCACTTTTCTATGTCGCTTTACAGATTGTGACTATGACTCTAGAGCCTGAAGTAGCCCAGACCTATCTCTTGCCCGAAGATGCATCCCTACATGATGTGACCAGCATTCGTCTGGAAGTAGTGGGAATTAGCGGGGCCAAGTCAACCAACCTGGATGTTGACATTTTAGGCTGCGTTAAAGGTATGTGGCATTTGACATGTGAGGACAAAGGGAGATGAGCTGATGCGGTATATGACCGAGAAATTGCCACAGGTAAAATATTGAGGTATTTTGGATTGACTGATTCTTCTTGTGTGTTTATCCCAGAACTTTCCACGGGAGCGCCGGCGAGAGACCAGCCGCAGACCGTGCCAACTAAAGTCAAAGTGACCACGACAACTCTTGTGACTTCTCCCCTTGGAACAACCACTGAGGAGACAACTACTGTCAAAGCATCATCACCTGCCGCATCGACAACAGCAGGTAAGACTTGTGTCCTGATTGTGTGAATCCTAATATGCTGGGTCAACTGACGAAGCTTTGTTAATGATAAATTACTCTTCTTTTTAGACTCGTGTCCTGATTGTGTGAATCCTGATATACCGGGTCAGCTTACTGAGTTTGTATAATGATAAATTATTCTTCTTTGGTTTTGTCAGAAGCCCAGACAAGCAGGATTGTTTCCACCGTGATAGACAGCAACACTAGGGAGACAACAACGGCCAAAAGAACATCGCCTGGCGAGGCGAAACAGAGTAGGTTCAGTTTGCTTTAAGTTTTCCTTCAAAATCATGGAGTGTCAATCTTCTTTTTGGCTTCTGATACTTTTTTTTTTTTGACATGAATATATAGGTAAACCTTTACGTGGTTGGACACTCTGGTCAGGTTGGTCCCCGTGCTCACACACCTGTGGTAATGACCAATCTATGAGGTTCCGTATTTGCCAGGATGAAGTTGAATGTGTTGGAGGGAAGGGGGCAGAAAAAGAAACAAAAGCGTGTAACACCGACCCTTGTCCTGGTGAGTGTTTCTTTTTACTTTTTTCACAGAGAGCATAATTTTGAGCAATGTCTTAAAGTCTTGTGAAGTATTTGCCAGTGCTAAGAAGGTCCTTTCCTCGTAGCTCCTTGAAATTAGCCTGAGCTAAAAACTTCTATTTTCATAAAACGACCGTTTTCTAATTTGGCCAAATTGAACTCTTCCCTAATTTATTTTATTTTCAGTGAATGGTAATTGGACAATGTGGACACCCTGGTCAGAATGTGATCATTCTTGTGGTGGGGGCATCCAGTATCGTCTAAGAACCTGCACCAACCCACCTCCTAAAAATGGCGGATTATCCTGTGGTAAAACGAAGGAAGAGGTCGAAACTTCCATGTGTAATATAGAACCCTGTGAGGGTAAGAAGAAAATAATAACAGCGTCCAAATTCAGTTATAAAGATTTGAAATTACATTATTTGTTCACTACTATAAAGAAATGTTTGAATGCGCAAATTGTTTTGAACATCCCACTTGATGTATTTATGTAATATTATTGATAGGTAACGCAATTGTCACTTGGATGAGCTTGACGACTCGGGATATTATTTCCCATAGGGGACCAATAGAAATGTTCGCTTATGCTCGTGTATGTTAACAAAGAGCAACCATTGTCCAGTGGAGACTAACACTGCTAGTTCCGGTACAAATGTGTAAGTTTCCAATTAATGTAGGGAAATTATTATTACTATTTGTCTTATTATTCGATCCAGAGCCATGTGAAGAAGGTACTGTATTTGACGATTGCAGCAAACCGTTACCATGCCAACGAACCTGTCTTGAAATGCGTAATGATGTCGTCTGCCTCAATTCAACTGCGTAAGGTTTCCCTTTATTTACAAAAAGTACAATGTTCTCTAGATATTATTATTATAAATATTTATTATTAATTTCACTCCCCGTAATATAATAAAATATAATAGGTCTATGCAGGCTAGGAGTAGTATGTACTGGTAATTAGATGTGATTAGTCCAAACTGCCAGTTTGGAAACAAAACATATGAATTGTGTGCTGGCTAAATATTAATTTGTATTCAATAATTTTACCATTCTCAAAAGGTGCACTCCAAGTTGCCGGTGTGAGGAAGGAAGCGTTTTCAACAACGAAGGACTGTGTGTTCCAATCAGCGAATGCTCATGTAACATAGATGGAAAAGTATATCGGCCAGGAGAAACATTCATAAATGAAAAAGAATGTTCAATTTGGTAAAACAAAATTTAAAACTATATTATTTTCGTCTCAGTATTTTTGTCCTGAGATAATAATTAACAAGAAAAGTCACAAAGTTATTGACTTTCTCAATCCATTTAAAACATAGGCCTACTGTATGGTCTCAATAATATCAACCTTATTATTATTATAATTTATTTATTTTTACGAAGCACTGACTGACAAGAAAAATATATAGATGGATATTTTCTTTTAGTAGTTGTATTTTCTTGACAGTCAAGTAACTTGACTTACCTTTCATTATCCCCTCTTTTGCAGTGAATGTACATCTGGGCGCATGGAGTGCCGAGACAAGCCCTGTGATGGTGGATGGAGTGGATGGACTGTGTGGAGTTCATGCGACAAGACCTGTGGCTGGGGCACCAGACTACGTTTCAGATCATGCACCAATCCTATCCCACGGAATGGAGGCAAGAATTGTACCGAAGACGGGCGCATGGAGGTTGGGAGATGTAACGAGTTTGCCTGCGTAGGTGAGTATTCAAACATAAGGAGAGTTGTTTTACTTTTGCACTATTGGACAAAATTTTGACAAAGTCACCATTTGTGAGTGTTTATGAGGTCCTGAAAAGAACCGATGGAAACTCAACGTTTCGGGCAGTATGCCCTCCCCGTCGTTAGGAGACCGAGTAGTGACAGGGCCTGACGGTTGATCGGTGGTTATGTTCGTATGAATTTCTTTTGAGTGCAGGTGGAAGCTTTTATGTTCTTGAGATAAGATCAAGTATTATTCCTGTATTTTTATCAAACGATATCTTCTTGAAACCTGGTAATCAGTGGATGGTAAGCCGGGTCCATGGGGGATGTGGAGTGTCTGCACAGCAACATGCGGAGGAGGAACACAACATAGAAAGAGGAGTTGTAACAGTCCGGTTCCGCAGAACGGAGGAGATGAATGCACAGGGGTGTTGATGGAAGAAACCAGACCGTGTGGCTTGGAGAAATGCCAAGGTGAGTTAGTGCTACTGGGGGCTAGGCTTGGGTTTATGTTTTAGCGTGACCTTAATCTGTCTATAAATTTGGCAAGTAATGTCCATCTTGACATATCACACTTGCTTCAATGTCTGTCTTATCTTATCTTTTGTCTCTACCGCTGCTTATTTTTTGTCAACTAATATGATAGGGAAGTAGTGTTGTCAAGTTTGTCACAATTCTTCACCGTTCCATCACAGGTCAATCCCAAGTCATCCATTACCAACTCAAGTTACAAGCTATTCGACTGATACATTCAATGGACTTGTGAAATTGAATTTATGGTTTGGTCGAGACCGGACTTGTGGTTGACTTATTTGACTACGTTCAGGGCTGGGGGGAAAAACTCACCTGTTGTGTTGTGTTTTTCTAGATGGCTGTGGTCCAGGCATGGAGTTTGTTCCTTGCGGTAGCACATGCCAGCCAATTCACTGCCAGCAGTTAGCAACTCAAGCTGACTGTATCGATGAAGAATGTCACTCTCTCTGTCGATGCAAAGATGACCGCCTCCTACAGAGCGGTACCTGTGTGGAGCCTCATCAGTGTCAGTGTATGGTGGATTTAGGCGGGGACCAGTTACAAGAATTGTTACCGATGGAATCAGTAATAATTGGCTGCCAGAACTGGTAAGAAGTCGAATTTGAAAGATGGAAATAAATTGCAAGTAGATTGATTACATTGAATCATTCTTTCTCCTGAAGCGTTCTCATGTATACAGTAAGTAGCTCTGCCTTAACAGGCTCAATAATATTCCTTTGTCAGATAGCAACTATATGGTAATAAAATGGTCTTTTTTAAGGACACACATGCACCTTGAAACTGTACTGAGATTTCAATTTGCAGGTTTGCAAACTCTGCTGTTTACATGTTTCCTTGTCCTTATCAAGCCTATAGGTTGTTTGAAGCCAAACCGATCAAATTAAGAGCAGAAACATTTGTAACCATTTTTTAAATCCTTAATTTCAGTACTTGCAAGAATGGTGTCTTAAACTGCACTGAGGATAACTGTGTTGGTAAGTCAACGGGAAGTCATCTTATATTAGGTTTTTTCTTTCTTCAAATTCTTTTCAAAACGTAACGCAAAACAATAATAATAAATCTTGTCATTAATGTCATGTCATATCGTTCCTGTATTTTCTTTTTTGATTAGTGAATGGTAACTTTAGCGACTGGACACCATGGGAACAGTGTGATAGAAACTGTGGATCAGGTTTTCATCGGCGCTACCGTTCGTGCACCAATCCTGCTCCTCGTAATGGCGGCAAGAGTTGTATTGGTACACACATGCAGAAGATGCCATGTGATGGGCTGAAGCCCTGCCCAGGTAAAGGTTGCCAAACTGTTTCTTTCATATGCCTAAAGTTTATGTAAAGTTCTTGCCATTTTGATACAAAATTAATTAATTGGTTTTTAGGGGCAATCATATTTCACTGATCTTTTCTTCTTTTAACAGTGATTCCTGGCTGGAGCACCTGGTTTCCATGGTCTGACTGTGACGTGTCATGTGGGGGCGGTATGCAAGTACGAACCAGACTGTGCAATAGTCCGGCACCTGACCCTGACAGTATGTTAGTATGTGAGGGAGCCCAGAACCAGACTAGATCTTGCAACACTGAAGTCTGTCCTCAAGGTAGGAAACGTTGCTTTCAATTACAACCATTTTTAAATGAATAAAGAAATAAACCATAAAGCAAAACTGACAAGGTGCACACGCATTTGTTATAAAGATGAACAAAGAAATGGACTTGGGCTGAATCAAAGAGTAGATTCATCCGCAGCTAAACATTTAGTAGTTTAGAAGTACCGTATCTAACGCCACAGTCTAATTCTTTAATGTTTAATCATTGACAGCTTCATGCTACCAGCTCCTACCGCTACCTTCAAATGCTCCCACTAGCCTAGCATTTTCCGACGTACCTTCCTCAGGATGGAAGCCTTCCTCGGCTGGCCCTGTAGTATCATTCTCCTTCCCACAGCAAAAACAGATAACAGCGTTGGAAGTGCGAGGTGGTGGGAGGGGAACGGGGGCATTTGTCAGGAGGATGGAGATATCTTATCGTGTCAGCAAGTATGATGCGATGGAACCAATTCGAGATGGGAATAACCAGACAATGGTGGGTGGAATTAAGAACAGTTGCTTTAAATTCTGTCTGTATGGTTTTGTTTATCCCTTAACCAAGTATTGTACACCGCACCCCAGTGTTGTAGTCGAGTCCATTGCAAGTCCGGTCAAATGTGAATCAAATTAATTCATAAGTCTTTCCACGAGTACCAGTTCATTCGAATAGATTGTGACGTAACTTGTGCGAACTTGCAAGGCGTTGTGATGGACTCAACCTAACGCTGCTTCATCAACAATTAGTTTCAATTTGAGCATACAGTAATCTCCACAGAGTCCCGTACACCTTAGATGCATGAACTGGAGGAGGGTTATGTGACAACGTTCTTCTTATTATTTTCTTGCAGATGTTTGAAGTTAATAAGAATGATGTTGACAATGAAGTAATTAATCTACCTCAGCTTGGGATAGTCGCGTCATCGTTATCAGTTATGGTGACTAATGCTACCCAGAAAGCTAGACTTCAACTCAGGCTGAGAGGCTGTCAACCAGGTAGATATTAACTATCTCTTCATTCGTCTTGAAGATATGGTGTCTAAAATCTTTTGAATTGAAGTTCATTCTACTGGGAGAAGGCTTATATTTCTCCATATTTTGTGTATTACAGGTTAACTTCAATCATAAAACATATTACGTGTGTGTTGTATTCGGTGTGGTCATTTTTAAATCATTGTTTGAAGTAAAAACATATGAAGTTGAAAGACCAAAAGAGGCACAAAATACGATGTTGCATATGAACTCATATCTTTTTCCTCCTGATGATAGTGTGTGCGGGCGATAAGATTGAGCAAGCCTGTAGGCAGCGCTGTCCAAAGACCTGCGCTGAGTTGAGAGGTGATTCGGTCTGCGTTGAGGAGGAATGTAAGATGGGCTGCTTCTGTAGGGAGGGATACGTGGAACTAGACGGAAAATGTGTACCGCCTGAGGTGAGAAACAAATAGACGACATGTCTTAAGCTGCTTAGTACAGAGTTGAAATAAGCACATAAAGCATCTGCTTATCAAAATCCGCTATCCGGCAAATGCCGTGCATTGTAGCATTGTCTGTTTCTCCGTAGTAAAGTGGCTGAGCTAACAGATTTTTTTCTATTTTAATCATAAAAAATAATTACTTCAATGGCAGTCTTGGCAGAAAGTACTTACAGTAGGCTAGTAATACAACAATATAAATTTCTGTTCTCAATTTAAGATAATTCAGGACTGACATTTTAACCCTTTGTCATCTTTATCCAATCAGGAATGCCCGTGTTTCTTGTCCAAGACCGTCATACTCAACTTACGATTGATGACTGGTGAGCCGCCGCTAGAAAACACCAACAAGTCTGACTGTTTGCCATTAGCTCTAGATCAGAAGGGTAATCGTATGGTACATGGAGATATGATACTGCCTGGAAGTGTGGCGTTTACACCTTGCAACAATTGGTAAGTCATATATTTTTGATTCATCATTTCTAGTCTAGCAAAGACTCAGTTTGCGAGAAATAAACAAACAATGAATATGGGATATTTCAAAATATTCCCTTTGTCAGTTTGTCAGTTTAAATTGGTGTAATTCACGTCTAACCTAATTTTTCAGCACCTGTGTGAACGGCAAGATGGAGTGCACAAAAGAGCGTTGTCAAGGTAACTCAAAAAAGTTGAATGGTTGTTCTCAAAGTCACTGATTAAATTCTGGAATTTGTAGTTGCTTAGTCAGAGTTTAAGTGCTGGGTATTTTGAGCAGAGATCACATCATTATTAAATCAATACGTAAACATTGGCTGCAATAATATCTTACAATTTCAATTTGCAGAGACAGTAACTCAATCTTCATCATGCGAATCATCTGGGACCTGTGCAGTTGACTGTACATGGAATGAATGGACGAAATGGTCAGCATGTACAAGAACATGTGGGGTAGGGCAACAGCGAAGGACACGGTCATTCAACCCTGCAATGTACGGTGGCAAAGAGTGTGATAATAAGAATGATACTGTGGAGACCAAACCGTGCAGTTTGTTGGCATGTCCAGGTGAGAATATATAAGTCAAAAGTAAGTTGAAATTTATGGTTTCGTTAAAACGTTGTTTCACAGCCACATGAATAATTATTTAGTAACACACAAGGAGTTTGAAAAAAATATAAAGTTAATTTTCGTTCACAATACGTTTTTCACTAATCGTTTGTAACTAGTGAGAAAAGATCGGGAAAAGATCGAGATATCTGAAACAGTCTCGTACTCTAACTACCATCTTGATCGTTGTTGTATTTCATCTACTTGGGACAGTAAATGGAGGATATTTCCAATGGAGCGAATGGTCAAACTGCACCAAATCATGTGACGGTGGAAACACTGAAAGGATGAGAAAATGTAACAACCCGACACCTAAGAATGGAGGGGAGCCGTGCAAGGGACCAGCAAAACAAACCAAAACGTGTAACAGTGAACCATGTGGTATGTTAGTATAATTTTCATATTGTAGATAATTTGATTATTTGATAATTTATAACTGTTGTCCAAGTGTAAAAAGGCAACTTTTTTAATTCTCGGGGGGGGGGGATAAAAGAGTTTGTTTAGATTATTTTTAACTATAGTTTTAAGTGATTTTAACAATTTTGTCTTGACTGTCAGGAAAACAGTGGTTGTAAATTTGTTGTGTCTTCCATAACATCTTTGACTAAAATGAATAATAATTCTAACCCGCAGGGCCAAAGTGTACCGGTGGGAAGATTTATGACAGCAAATGTGGCAACCGCTGCCCATCGCAATGTGCCCAGCTACAAAGCGGTTCGGCATGTAACGAGGATGAACGATGTCAACCAGGGTGCCGTTGTCGAGACGGCTGGTTGGAAGATAGTGATGGGAAATGTATCCCACAAGATATGTGTGAATGTCTGGACGCAGAGGGCAGGTTATGGCCTCCAAATTCCAAGTATAACATTGACTGCAATACATGGTGAGTGTGGACTAAGAGTTATTTGTATTATCTGGAATGAACCTGTTTTAGATTGTGGTCTGGTAGTTTAATCATTCTTGCCAGTGATTTCAATTTGTTTTTGTATTCCAAACAAACAAAAGCACTCTTCTGCATAGTTTACGTTACTAAGGAGATCTATAATTTGCATGTTTTATTGTAGTATTTGCCAAAATGGCAAGATCACTTGCTCAGAGAACGACTGTCCGGTGGATTGTGGATTCAGTGCGTGGTCCACGTGGTCGACATGCCAACACACCTGCGGTGATTCTGACAAGATTCGATTCAGGTTTGACCATCCTATTCTTTCTAAACAGAACTAGGCTTGCCTCGCTGAGCTGGACCTAAGAGTCTCTATTTAGGACATTTATAGTCACTGACTCAGTAAGTGGCTCAGTCACAGGACGGTAGGACGGTGCTTCAGATTTAGCCACCAAAAAAAAGTATATTCAAGCGTGTACTGAATGTACACAGACCTTGTTAAAATCTGTCACCAGTAGTCTTTTGGATGTCTTTCAGGTCAGCCAATAACCCACCAGCAGATTACGGCGGCCGACCGTGTGAGGGCGCTACCACCGAGAGTAAGTCATGTGGCTTACCTGATTGCCCTGTCTTCTGTTCGGCGGATAATGGGCGTGTCTATTTGGAAGGGGAGGAGGTCTCGAACGACGGCTGCAATGCGTGGTGAGCATGAAATTGTGCTTCAGAGCAGATATTTTCATCTCGAACGTGCATGGCTAATCTTAGCTCCTGAATGCAGAGAACCATTGGTTCAATCTCTCTGTCAGACATGTACAGTATATTGGAATGTTTCTGTTATTAACAGAGAAAAACAAATCAGATTAAAAGTTACAGAAAGTTTAAGCTTAGTTTTGTCGAATATTAATTGTGTGTATATCTGTGACATTTATTTTACATTGCAGTCTTATATTTTTTTATTTCACACAGTACCTGCAACAGTGGTTTCATCAGGTGTACAAACAACACATGTGCAGGTGAGATATTCAGTTATTGTAACAAATGTATATTTTGAAAAAATTGTAACAGTTTTCCTAGTTATATTTGTGTTATAGGTATTTCAATCTAAATTTCAATTAACCTATTACTGTGACCTTTGCCCCGTCAGCTGCTTTGAAGCCGGAGTGGTCGCCATGGTCACCATGTGATGCAACCTGTGGGTATAATGGGAGGAGAGTACGATCGTTGTCATGTCAACCAGACAAGAACGATTCAAGCTGTGTAAATGGTGTCAAGATGGAATCAAGGAAATGTGACTTACTGCCATGCCCAGGTGAGTATGTTGCCTGAAGAAATTTGATGATATTTGATTTGATTTAACTTCATCAACCTTGAAACTCACCTATTCTGATGTTATCTGGTATTTAAGATTTGATTTGATTGACACTTATCGACTCAGTCTTGACTCATTTAACTTGGTTTGATCTAATCTGATTTGATTTGGATCGATTCGGTATACTTTTGTCTGATTTGATTCACTTTAACTTAAATTAAATTTACTTGTATCTGATGTAATCCGATTTGATTTGAACTGATTATATCTCTCGTGATCTGATATAATTATTTAAATCTGAAAGCATACAAATAGCAGTGTGGCTTTTACACTGAGTTCTACTAGTCAAATATGATTTGATGAATGATTCATGTTTGATCTGATTTGATGTTTTACTGGATATGATATCCGTGATTTGATTTGATCACTTGATATTTGAATTGATTTGATTAATTTGACTTCTATTACAGTTGATGGTAATTGGTGTGAGTGGAGCCCATGGTCAATATGTTCAGTATCATGTGGTGTGGGTCAGGTCAGAAGGTCACGTGAATGTATGTGCGGAGAGCCATTGAATGGAGGGAAGGAGTGTGAAGGAAAAGGGGCGGAGACTCAAGCTTGCTTCCTGGAGGCGTGTCCTGGTAAGAATAGATTTGCAGAAATTGACACATCAACCTTGGAAAGTAGTGCTCATTTCTTGGTCTTAAATTCACGGGGTGGGAAGTATTTGCATTTTTTTGTACATTCCTAAAATATGTTGTAATAATGCATTGTATCTTGCCAATAGCTGAAGGTTATCCAAACATTTATCATAGTGATATATATTTTAAGTGGAAGTGTCTTATTAATCAATTTTAGCAAAGCAGTAGTTTTAAAATAAGATGTAGTTTATTACAAAAAAAATAACAATTTAAACATCTTTGTAATAATTATATCTCTGGCAAAAAATATATAATATTTCTATTCTCTGAAGTTGATTGTGTATGGGATGAGTGGTCTCCATGGTCAGAATGCACAGCCGTTTGTGGCACACAAGAACAGATCTCAACACGAACAAGGCAACGAGCAGGGAACGGTGGTAGAGAATGTGAAGGACCCGAGATCAGGACCAAGCTCTGTAACCTTCCACCATGCAGAAGTAGGTTTAGTTGTCAATTGTTTTAAACGCAAAGTTTGTAATTTTGTAATGCAATTTTAATCCCTTAAACGTTCAGAGATTTGAAATATTAGGCGACAGCAACGTTCTTGCACTTTCAAAGCAGTCATTTGCTTTTTTTTTAAAATGTTTACTTCATATGAGACCAGATTTAACTAGCAAAGTTCTTGCAGCAAGTTTTAAATTCAGCTCTTTGAAAGATTCAATCAGATTAAAGAAACAAATCTTGCAATGTTTTTGATATTTTGTAGGATGTGTGTCTCCCTTCGTGAATCGAGCATGTGCCACGACTTGTCCCCGAAGTTGCAGGGATTTGAGGAAGAATACAGAGTGTATGATGCCAAGGAGATGCGAGGGGGGCTGTATGTGCCCTGGGGTAGGTTATCATGGATTGACTGACATTAGGCTATTGAGCTCAGTGACACATGGTGGATCGCTGGATCGTTCATATTCTTTCAGCTTGTCTTGTGTCTCTGGTTTGGAAAATAAACAATGAAATATGCCATTCAAATAAAATCAGCTCCTCATTTTGACATATAGAGTAACTTGAATTTTGCATCTTTTTCTTGGTCACGTAATTTTCTTCCCTGTTTGGTGGGACATTCTTTTTGCCATTCCACAATAAAGTTATATAGGATAAACAAGAAATCAGCCAATGAAATAAGTCAAGAATTTAATGAATATGTTGAAGAAAAGTTTTTCCCAAAGTTTGTAAAGGAGCACAGGTATTATCAAGGTTTGATTGTCATTAAATTCCTATTTTTTATCCTCTCAGGATTATTTACTCCAAGATGATGGTTGTGTCAAACCATCAGAGTGCCGTTGTACTGTCGCTTTATCAGACCTGCCTGGTTTACCTGATAGTTCCTTAGATCAGCTTCTAAGACCAACGTCATCACCTGGCATATATCAGATGAATCCTGGAGATGTTATTGATGTAAACTGCAATAAATGGTAAGATCTAAGTTTCGTATCCATGGTAATGATTTAATTTTTGTGACAACCTGTACTTAAAAAATTACTTCAGCCAAAAACAGTTCGGGACTTATCTGCCTTTGATATTTCAGAAACGTTTTAAATTTATAGACATAAGGCCCATAGTATTAGATTGCAAGCTCTTCTGTAAAAAAAATTGCCTGAACCAAAACTGAACTTTCTAATGTTTTCTTCTGTTTTTAGTGAGTGTGCTGTTGGACAGTTGCAATGCACCAACAAGTCTTACAAAGGTAACCTCAATCGTTTCTGTCAGTCATTAATTTCCCTTTCATTCACAGTTGCAATTTTCATAAGCAAATAAATGGTTATTTTATTGCAATTCAACTGCTTTTTCATGTTTGATATTTCAGTGCCTGGCGGGTGGAGTGCATGGACAGAGTGGTTTGGTTGTACAGAATCATGTAGTGATGGACCAGTTTACGGGCTTCGGTTCCGTTCATGTAACAGTCCAGAGCCTAAGCCGGCCCTCTCTGAGGGAGGGAATGGGTGTGAAGGGGAAAGTATGGAGAGAAAGATATGTGCAGAGGTAACGCCGTGTCCAGGTAGGTCGCAATGAGTTCATATTAAAAATGATCGACTATTCAAATAAACCTTCAAATGTATTTGAAGTATGAGAATACTTGAAACGTTTTATTATCCAAAAACCTCCAAACTTTTTATAAAGATATTTTGCCCATATTAAGTTGCTGCTCAACATTTGTTAGATTTGTTGGATACACATAACATCGAAAACTTATTACAAAAAAAGGTAACGAACATGAAGATTATTCCTGTTTCCAAATTGTGTTTAGTTGATTGCAAGTACGGTCCATGGCTGGAGTGGAGTGGATGCGATGCACCGTGTGGGGGCGGTAGTCAGACTCGTAGACGTGACATCATAATTGAAGCCAAATACGGCGGTCGCCCATGTCAAGAAGAATTAATGCAGTCCCAACCATGCAACCCAGAACCATGCCCAGGTACGTAGCGAGCCATTCACGGAAAAATGATTCTATTTCATATATATTTCAACTTGAGCAGAACCCGTTCACTGTTTGTCATGCATTTAATAAATGAAGGTTTTAGGCTTGGGAGAAAGTCTCAAAGTGTTGGGGGTTTTTTTGGGGGGGGACAACTGTCATATCATCAAGTGCTAACATTTTAGCCAAACAGTCGAACTCCACCAAAAGAATCTCTCAATACTATTGTTTTGGATATAGTTCGGTCAGGTGTAATAACAAATTCTTGTTCGTACTAGGTGAATTGTGCGGGGAGATTGGTATGATCTATGACGAATGTGCAACCCGGTGCCCTTTGACCTGTAAGGATCTGAGCATCCCTTGTCTGCAACCAACATGTCAGCCAGGATGTCGCTGTAAGGAGGGAGAATATTTACAAGATGGGAACTGTGTGACTCAGAAGGAGTGTCGATGTGTGTTTGATATGACTGAGATGGCAACAGAAATGCAGAGATACTCGAAGATGTTCATTGATGAGGAAGATGTCATACCACAAATGCCACCGCCTCCTCTTTACCATGGTAAAACAACTTTTGCATTCATGGCCACTTTTTAAAGTTTTGTTTTAATTAGGCTAATTAACTGTTTTCAGTCGTTGATTTCTCCAGTCTTAATGCTCGTCTCCAGCCTGTAAAGTTTAGCCTAGTTCCAAATGTTCTTTCTTTTCAGAGTCATGCAGTAAGCCAATACCTTTACCGCCAAATGCCCCAGCTTCACTCGCCCTCGACAGTAAACCAGACAACAATAACATCTACGGCTGGAGTGGAGACCACCTAACCCTGACCTTTGACACAACCCACCATATCACTGGTCTGAATGTACAGGGTGGGGGCGCTCTCAGTGGAGACTACTTAGAACGACTGATTGTTCTCTACAGGATGGCAGAGCCCACTGGGTTGAGGCCAGTCCTGTCCGATGATGGACTAACTCCTATGGTACTTCAGTTGTCATTTATGAAAAAAATTTTATATTGAGAAAAAAACTGTTTTATACTGATATCCATATCAGAATCAAAGATGGCCTTTTGTTACCATGGATACAGTGTCGCTACGCGACACGGCGCCCTCTTGAGTTAGGCACTTATCTTTTAATCCACACATTGTTTTGATAATTATTCGTTAAGTTAATCGGGTGTACTATCCATTTCCTAAGATATGTTATGGTTCAATATTTCATTCGGTATCTTTCAGATTTTCCATGGCAACACTGATCCAATCACCATATTAGAGATTCATCTTCCTTACGGTGGCGTCATGGCAACCTCTGTCACTATCCTCCCAGTCGTTGCCAAGGGCAATAAGTTCAGACTACGACTACAGCTTCTTAGCTGCCCTAAAGGTAATACGACTTCTTCAGGCTGGATAACTGAAGATGGGGTGCAATCCAGTAACTGCTGGAAACTGTTAATGTTTTGGCAATTTAATCCCCTCCCCATAGACCCTTTGCATTCAGCAACCATATTTGAGGTGTTTTGGTTATTTAAATTTAGTGGCAAAGAATGCGTGAGAAGTCTACTTATTTGCATCCTTGTGAAAGAAAATCTAATCCTCAAAGATGGCTGGCTGTAATAAAAACAGTATATTCTGGAGGTCTGGTATAATAACTAATTCATCTTAGCTTAATTGTCTGAACCATTTCTGTTCATCTGGTCAACCGATCTTACTTGTCCATGATACGATAACGATGAGCATGGTTGCTGAATGCTGTCTCCTTAATGATGTGAAACTGTGTCTGAGGAATGCCTCGTTACGTCTATGACCTCAATCTATCAATAACAGGTCAGGCAATCAGCAGCTAATGAGACGTGTCCAGCCTAAGCATCTTCAGTTTCAACAACCGTTACATTTATTCAACAGTCACATCTGTCAGATATTTTAATGTGTAAACTATTCGAGTTTTTGAAATTGTTCTGAAGACAGACTGCTTGAGTTAGCTTTGAAAGCAATTTTGTGTCATATAATATGTGTTTAGAACGACTTTCTGAAATGTTATTTAAGAAATTGGAAGATCAATTCAGGAAAAGCGGAGAAAAGAATTGATCTCCAATAAGAAATATTATTCGGGATTTAATTGTTTCCCTTCCTCTAAACCAAGCATCCATTCTTTATTTCCTTACATTGCATTTAGTATGTAGACATGTTTTATATCTTTATTGTTACCCATTGCTCTTCAGATGAACAAGCACGTCTCAGTCAAGCTTCACTCCCCAACCAGAAAGAAGATACTCCATCAACATCGATTTCAAGGGCGTTACTTACACCTACATTGTCCACAAGACTACCCATGGGATACCAAACGATGCTTGGTTCTCCACCCGGGCTAACAATAAATGAAGCTTATCAGCCGGGTTCTGTGCTCGACTTCCCTTGTAGCCAATGGTGCGTTGCCTCAACTTTTCATTTTTAACCTCTCCTGAATTATCTCCCTGGACACGTTTTTCCTTTGTGAGGGTTCTGCCAGATGGATGAAGCGACAAATAGTGTTGAGTGATGACCTTGTTACCTTGACTCGAACCTTGTGCTCAATAACACGTCGACTTTAGGTCTGGTTAGATCGTTAGAATCGCTTGAAGGAAATTACTCTAAAATATCAGTTTCATTAATATTGTAGACTGGATTGGCTATGCACCTGCTTTTAAAAGAAGTTAATACCTCTCTCATGTTCTATCCAGGGATCTGGTGCACCAAGTTAATAGTGTTCAAAGTTTTAATGATTGTTTCTGGCTGGGTGATGTCGCCAATGTGGTAGAGAAACGAAATTGTATTGCATCATTTGGTATTTCTGTACAGGGAAAGTCCCGTTCTTTGTCCAGACAATTTTCTCCTTTGTTTTGAGGATTGTTTCCTTCTTCTTCTTCTTTTCTAGCAATTGTTCCGGTGGTGTATTCATGTGTATAGACCTACCTTGTCCACACTTTGATAGTTGGACTACATGGACCAACTGCACAGCGTTGTGTAGTGGCGGTTATCAATATCGAAGTCGAGAATGCCTGGATGCGACGGCAGAAAAAGACTGTGAAGGATCGAGACTACAGACAAGGAGATGTAACATTGAACCATGCCCAGGTAAGATTTTGTTTTAAGTGCATCTTTATTGCACAAAATTTGAGGGCATCATTACTTTCTCGTTCTATTGAAGACTGAGGATATTACATGGAAAGGTGTTGTTTTTTTGGTTTTTGGTTTTAACCGGACACTATTGATAGCCATTAAAGTAACGTCCTTTTATTTCACCCTTATTTATTTTACAAATTGATGCTCACATTTCCATCGCTTCATTGGACTCTCGAATAATGTTCTTATATAGTGCAGAAAAATAACTGTTGATCTTCTTTTCCTCAGTTGATTGTCAGTGGGATGTGTGGACTTCATGGTCATCTTGCAGTGCGAGCTGCAACGGAGGTCATCGGCTCCGAACACGTCTTATTTTAATCCCCGCCCTCTTTGGGGGTCGTGCCTGTAATGGAGCAAGAGAAGAACTGATACCCTGCAACACCCAGCCTTGCCTCACCTGTCCTCGGGGTACGATTCGGTCGTCATGTGGGAACCGGTGCCCGAGGGAGTGTAGCGATATTCATGATGGGATTGAGTGTTTGAATGATGTGCAAGGTTGTCAAGACGGTTGTGTCTGTCCTGACGGGATGCTTTTACAAGATTTCCAGTGCGTACCAATCAGCAAATGTCGTTGCGTTGCCGATGAGAGTGTTTTTGGCATTCTTCCGGCAACAAGCAACCGATCTCGCAACCTCCTGGGTAGTATGGAGTACCAACCGGGTGATGTTGTATACAAGCAGTGTAATAAGTGCACCTGTGAAAGAGGTCACTTTCATTGCGCCAATCAGAACTGTAGGATGGATTGTGGGTGGAGCGAGTGGTCTGATTGGTCGGATTGCTCAGTGACCTGTGGGTCAGGGGTTAAGAAGGCTTACAGAACTCCAGATAACCCTGTCAGGGCGTATGGAGGGGCGGAGTGTGAAGGACCATCTCAGAAGGAGGAAATATGCTATGCAGGAGACTGCGGTAAGCCAATCAAATCAGTTCATTTGTACTTCAGATAATACAGCGTTCTTGATTGGCTAAAAAAAACTGTTACACGGTTTGTTTTAAACTATTAATTGTCACTTGTTTTTAATGCAGTTGGTGGCATTGCAGGAATAAAGGACATAGTGTGAATGTGTGTTCTTGTGTTTGATTTTACTTAAAAATGAAAAACGATACAACTGTTTCATTTGTCGACAGAATGTGGAGGAAATGAGATCTTCAGTAAATCAGCTACGTTATGCCGTCCAAAGTGCCAAGATATTCACACATATCAAGACAGGATTACCATCCAAGACAAGGATACCACCCAAGATCAGTCATTATGTGGTCAACCGTATGAGGCTTGCGTCTGTCAAACAGGTAGAGAATAGACCGAAAGATTCCTGCCATGTCTACTTTTCTAATTGTTTGCTAGAGACCTCATTTTTGTGAAGTCACATTTTTTTTTTTGCATGCACACACATGCATACATGTATTACTTGTCACCTCTACCGTGATACCACTCAAATCGACGTGACAATTAAGATGCAGTATTTCGAGAAATCATTTAACAATTTAAGTTTATATTTGTGTGTCCGTCCATCTCTGTTAAGTGGATCATAATATCATTGAACTGTGTACTGCTAATAGTCATTAGCTGTCATATCCAATATCCGTCATTGTTTTGTTCAATTTTCAGGTTTCTACTTGAACTCTACTGGTGGGTGTGTCCCACCCCATCAGTGTGAGTGTGTGGATGAAGAGGGGTTGCCACGGAAACCAAACGAGGAATGGAGACCAGACGATTGCTCTGTGTGTTCCTGTAGGAACGGAATAGTGACGTGTGGTACTGAGTGTGATGTGATGTCGTGTAGTGAAGAGGTAATACATAACACCATCAGTGATGTAGTCGACACATCAAATCACAATCGAACACAATATTTTTTTATCGAAGCTCTCGTCAAGACACAAACCTGTTTAAATGAACTGTGATTATTGTAATCGCATTTGTGATTTACTTTTGACCGGGCTTGAGGGACTTTACTTCAAACTGCAAGTGCGGTCCTGATGGACTTAGAGAAGGATAATCTTTGGTTGTTTTAATGAATGTGGGTGACAACATTGCTATTCATACGTTTGAGAACTATCTGAACGATATAGGATTTTAGGCTTTGCATGGGTGGAGTATCGGTTTCGGTTTCGTTTCGGTTTGTGGTAACACCATCATGGTAATGACTACTGCTCAGTAGATATTTAGTTCTGAAAAGAACTTGCCCTGCTTACTATCAACTTTTGCTAATTAAGTAATTTTTTAGTTCTGATTAGAACAGTCCTACTTTAAGCTCTAAAATAACTCGTCTTTGGTCTCGACATTTCGAATAGCTTGCTCTAGTCATCGTCGGTCATCTAATCATCGTCAGGTGTAAATAGATACCAAATAATGAACGATATTTTGATCGTTATATTTGTCTTTGACACCGTACCTTTTCCCCGCCTTGCCTAGAATTATGAGTTGGTCTACGAACCGGGAAAGTGCTGTCCAGTCTGCAGAAAACGATTCGGTGAGAAAATGATTCAGCTTACGAAAAAAACTATTCACTTAAATTGCAGAAAATTCATTACAGATGAAAAAAAAATGTTCCATTTTATGATTAAAAAACAAAATTCAAATTTTGAGATGTTTTTGCTATAAACAGGACATGTTGAGACATGCCGTCTGGAGCTGGTTACTCGCAACATCACCAACTCAGCCGGTTGCCGTGCCAACGATGTTCAGCTTAGTGTCTGCATGGGGACGTGTTCTCCATCCAATGAGATTATCCTCAGTGAACATCCAGAATTCTCTGTCTGTCGATGTTGTCAAGGAATCTTGGAGAGGGTGGATGGAGTTAAGGAGGCAGAGGAAGTCGACATTGAGATTGTTGCTTTGGTATGCGAAGATGGGAGTATGGTTGAGATGCCTGTTGCTAAGTACACTGGGTGTACATGCCAACAGCCTTGTGGTAAGTACCTAAGTAAGTAATCTAAAATGTTACTCGGAAACAGAAATAGAGCATCTATCTTGACGCAAAAAGGAGGTCAAACAGTGTGCTTACTATGATCTTAGCGTAAAATAAGGGTGTAGTAGAAACCAAATAATGATTGAAACATGACTCAAAATTGATGCCTATAACTATGATATCTTTCAGTCATCAATGCACTTGTCGAATTTGTAATTTATTTGATGTTGTTTTTCTTTCTTAAAGGCGAATCGGCTGTATACGAAGCATTACCATAAACAATGACGACTAAACAAATCGGATAAAGTCATCGGAAATGGATACGGAAATGAAAAAGTTTTCTGAAGTAACTGGGATCTGTAACTATCCTGAGCTCTCAGAAATTTATTAAAATTTTTGGATGATTTTAAAGTTTAATCTCAAATTAGTGCAATACTCAACATTGTAGTTTTCTTTCAAATACTTTGATAGTGATTATTTTGTGAAGTATTCTTGCAATGAGTGGGTAAATTCAATAGTCGTTTATCTAATTGGAAATATAGACAATTGTGTTAACTTAACACAACTGAAGACATGAGTTTCTATTATCAACTCGAAATTTTGATGTAACAAGTCTTGAGATTGACACCAATTCCATTCGACTGCCGCACTTAGTATCTGTTTCATTGAGGTTCATATGTTATTGTTTAGTGGTTGGTTTATTGGGGTGTTTTGGGGTTTATTTTTGACAATTTATTAACGACACTTATTGCAAGACATCACTTAATTCGGTAGATTCGTTTCCAATAAATTATTTCATTGGCATTGAAGATTGTTGTTCTGAGACGATTATTCAATTGTATGCATATTATACTCTGTTTCATTCCCAGGATCTGGATTCCCTGCTTCTCTCTACAATTCATTTGTCAATGCATCAACGGCGTGAATTTTGCCTTATCACTTTTCGGTTTTACCACAGTTTTTATTTTATCAACTGCAGCTTCTCATTGAAATGATGAGATCAGCTATCAGTTAGTTAGTTTAAATAAATAACAATTAATTAATTAATTGACTGACAAATATTTTGCCAACGAAAAGAAGACATTTCTTGATACCAGTTCGTCTTAATGAAGATCGTCCATTTCAAAGTAATGGCCAGGAATGTCACTTCGTCCATAGACGTTTAGACTAAATCGAATAGTACCGGTGTATCTCCGCGGGTTGTAGTAAAGACCGGCCGGCGGCAAGGCATATCATGCTGTTACGTAGCCGTTCTCGCCGTAAGAAACTACCCACCAACATTCCAATTGTATCAATAATATGAATAAAACCGAGAGCGATGTCACTGCTACATGGTAGTCACGTAAATGAAGCTAAACCATTCGCTAGTATTTCCATACGGCGGTAATTTTCTCCTGGACATCAGCAGGATTATTAATTATTCACGTATTGTTCGACTGACGTCGCTAGTCTGCCAGACAAACGGCTTTGTATATGCACTCGGCGTGTACAGACTTCCGTTGGTAACAAATTGGACTTCATACCGAGTCTGATATGATTCGATGTCAGGTCTATTATATGCGGTGTTGATAGATTGTGCAGTTGTGCGGCGTTGAGCACATGGTAAACAGATGTACGTACAGATGTGCTCATATTCCCCCTCTGAATGACATGGAAACACTTCCTTTGCAGATGTGGTCAAGTCGAAGCTTTCTGTGAAACTTGAATTCGACCTTCTTGGGTTTTTCCATAATACGTTTGGTGGACATGTGCAGCTATAATAATATTCATTGTGGAGCAATTGCAGGTAAACACCAGCGCGTGCGTGATAGTCGTTTCACTCCCGACGTCGTCTGTGTTTCTCGGAAGAATTTTCATTCAGAATTTGTTCGAAGTGAAAAGAATTTTCAGCGGGCACTGTGAAGGCAAGAAGTGAAACGGATCTGAAGATGAATTTGGTGCAGATGTGTATTCTGGGACTGTATGTTATGGTGATCACTCTAGTGCAAATGAAGACACACATTACACATGGTGAGTATTTTCTGAGAAATTCTTTGATTTTCAAAACAGTCTGTTGGTGAAGATATTTGTGGTTCGATGACTTTCGAGGATCAGTAACATTTTCAGCACTGCGTCACTGCTAAAACTAAAATTTGACCGTTAATGCTCATGCCCATGTAAGACCTAATAAGTAGCTTTGCTGTTCAGTTGTTATTCTGTTATTTCAGTACATTGAAATAATAATGTTCTATATTGTTTTGTGACGATAATGACGATCCCACCAACGCTTGATTGTTGGTGATCGGCAGAACGTCTACTAGCATTTGGTTCCTAGGCTTGGGACAAGTACATCGCTTGATCCTACACTCAGACGACTGTACTCTTTGTCGAGAGTAGAAACATGAATCAAATTCCCATTTATTTAAATCCAGAAGAAAATATCGACCCGACTCCGTCTGTGGAGTCCTGGCACCGCGTGAGATTGGATGTGTGATAGCAGATCTCGCCTCGAATCCTTTATTTATACCAAAACACAGGAGATTTGTTATAAATCATTAACTTGCAATTCATGAACTGGGAGCTCCCAGATGGACTTTGAAATGCACCCGTCAAAATTATCAAGTTGAGTCGCTCAATTAAATCCTATGATTTACTTGTATTCAATAGTTGTGTCTGCCGTGGTAGGCATATTACTTGCTGTGTACTGATCCCTTATCTGTCCACTGCATTTTCAAAATAGCTTCTCTTTTTTTCCTTGCGCATCGAGGAGTCACTTGTAATTAGCCGACCCGTAACTCATTGAAACACGCTGTTTATTTTGGGGCCCAGCTTTTACCGATTTGTAACCATTCGTGGCGCCTTTTGGTGCATCAGAAAGATTTATCATAAAAACGGTTGTCAGTTATGATAAAACATTTTGTGGTGACAAGCCGACTTTAAAATGGTTTGTTAAAAGCCCGTGCATTCACACGTCTTCGAGACATTGAGGGAAGGGGATTAATGTGAGGGAATAACGGTGCCGCCTTGGATTCTGTTCAACCACATTCACAACCCAGGATTCATTGAGCAATTCCTCAAAATTGAAACGTCTTTTTTAAGACGTTGACATCAAACCCGATGACAAAGAGCAAGGGTGTAACAATAAGGACGTATATTCCTTCAGGCAAAGGACAAGGGAATTGGTGATTGATACACTTAAAGGGGCAAACTTTTCGAGAAAACACTATCCCAGGAACAATACACTAAACGTATTTAATGAGAAGGATTCTCTTTTGTATTGAGTAGGTGGTTCCCACATCAGATGATATAAAGAAGTTCGGTGCCTGTAAGTTGCTGGATTCAGCAATTTCGCATCTTTGAAAGACTAAAGAAACTTGGTATGGATCAAGGCAGAAAACAACTTGAAAAGTGCATCAGTCGGGCCAAATATAACCGCCAGTTTGTTTGGAATAATTCTGGTTGATGTTTACAAAGATAAGATGACCGTGAATGATAATATAAGCATTCCCTGTTCTCCTTGTAAGACGGGGAGAGTTGACTCCACAAAGCTCCTTACCTCCTCAAGACTGCCATCATTGTTTACATTTCCCTCTCTGCTATTTAAGTGCAGTATTTTTACACGGCTTGCCAATTCAAACAAATAGCTCGCATTCTGACCATCCGAAGTGGCGTGTCGGAGTGTAAACGTCTGCGGGATTCTCCCCCAAACATTTCGTAAGTGGCATGATGAAATTGAGCTCATTCCTCAAGTATTTTAGTTACAGGCCGACACGAATAAAAACGTCTTGCCGCTTTTTTTTCAAGTAGGCCTAACATTATCTCCAGACAGCCGCCTGGGGAAACATATATAACTCCCTTCCTTAGTCCAGTTCAATTTCTCCAAGCCCCGCCCCAAGTAGGGGAAATGCATGGAGTCAACAATATTCCCCAAAATCCCCTTCACCACCATGACCTTCAGCACCAGCACCACCTGCACAACCGCACTCACAATCTTCCGACAATCAAGCCTAATTTTCGAAAGTATGACTCTCAAGTTTAATAAAATCTGACCTAAAGTTAAAACAAAATATATCCTACGCACGACCAATGATTCATAGGATTCCACCTGTCGCGAGTAGCACTTTTTTCACATTGGCTGAGGCCCTATATTGAAATCTGCTCGCAGGTGCTAATTTCAGTATTCTCCAAACTGGACTTCACAGGTATACTCGCTGAAGTAATGAATGCCACTTTCAAAGACAATAGAGGGTGTGCTTAATGAAATTTCTGTAGATAATAATATTGTCTGTGTTTCGATGGTAATCATGAAATTTAAAACACAGTTTATACAACATTTCACAATTTTTCAACCGATAATTGTTGCCACAAAAATACCATCTGGCCTTCCGTCTTGGCGTCAGTGAGTCAGCGCGCACCAGGGAGGCTTCGATACCGTGTGTAGCGGTGAAACCACGGCGGGCCTGAATGTCCGTGTCTGGATGACCCCACACCGGGGACATACGGCCATGTGTCGACAGTATGAGAGACGCGTTGGTCGGTATTGGTTGAGAGAATCGGTGTACAGACTAGCCGATAAATTGGAAGAAACAGATTTGGAAAACAGATGTGTTTATTTTGTGTTGGTTTGCCCCGGAAGGGAAGTTTAATTTGTATTTCTTTCTGAAACTACGAGAATGGGTTGGAAAATGCAAATTACATTCGTCATAAGTAACACCGGAAATTGACCGCATTATCCAATTAATTAAAAGAAAACTGCTTTTGGCTTAATCTGAAAAATGTTAAAGACTTATGTTTGAACAAAGGAGGTTATAATTAAATTTCATAATGATATGAGTTGAGTTTCTAGCAGTACATACATGTAAAATAGCTTCATTATGCAATAAAATTATTTGTAAAAATTGAACATGAACGCATTTTAAAGAATCCCTGTAATTAGTATGCTTTGGAGGGTTTACAAAGTCTCAAATTCAAGTAGAAAAAATGTGACTGTTTCTGTCTTGGTAAATGTGTTTCCATTTATAAATAACCACTGAGGCATTTAAATTGCGCTGAATAACATATGATAGGCAGACTTGTTAAAAACTTCACGTAACTACTGTGAAATAATCATTGCCATCCCTAGTTACTGAACCTAGCTGGCATTTACCATCCATGCGTGGTAAAGCAACATGGTCAGTTATTTTAATGCAAATCGTAAGAAAGTACTTTTTGCAAGTTCAAGGATAGGCTTATTAATAGCATCGTGTCGCGGGCTCACAGCACGTATGTCCATAACAAGAGTGTGCGTGGCTTTAAAGGTGCAGTCATCATCATTAATTGTTCAGACAAAACAAGAAGAGATTATGTATGCAATGGTAAAACAAAGGGCCTCGTGAGGATGGGAAACACATCAATATTTAAAGCAGTACATTTCAGCAAACATGCCCTTGGCAGATACGTGTTTCTTTGTTCTGTTATGCGGGAATATTTACAACTCGTTTCCTTTAAGCGTGCACTAACCAACCCAGCAGGTAAATATGACTGTCACTGTCATTGAGTAGCATAGGTTTATGGCCTGCGGTAGAACCCCCCTCTATGCTCGTTATCTCAATCATTTTGTCAAGGTTGGCCTGGGTTTCATTCAGGGATAAAAATGAAGCAAGGAAACTATGAAAATAAGAGGCAGGGTCTGAACACAGTCACAACTGCTGGGCCCAGGTCAGAGCATGTATATTATAGCAGTCTGATGATTATGATCGAGGGCAATGAGTAATGAATAGCAACTAATTTTGAAGAAAAAATAATTGTCAAGCTATTTATTCCAAATTCAATGGTAAGACATTTCGTGTTGAATTTCTCCGAGAACAGCAATCTACAATGCGTGGAATGCTATTTGAAAATTTTAACGAGACATAACTAATTATTTTTGGTCGCTGATGGCGCTCTTTGTTTACAACGGAGCGGTAATGATAATTATTGACAAAATAATCTTAGATTGGAATTTCCAATAGTGAGCAGGGGCTTAGCCAACACCCGTTACCCGCTCCTACACACACATGCTAAAAGTAAACATACATATAGAGAGCAGCATCTGCATTCGCAGAATAAAATGTGCTTCACAATTTATGCATTTTGGCTACGAATACTAAAGTACAGTTCAGGTAGGCAAATCTATTGTCCCGATCAACCTTCATAAAGATACGCAGTAAGTGAGCAATTCGTTCTGCCGTTATTGGACGGGAGACGCTTCGAAATTTAATTCATTAATATCGGGTTGAAGTCCAGGGCCGTAGCTTCCATGTCCTCGCATTCCATGCACCGATGACTCAGCTTCATAAATTGAGAAATAATTGCCCAGATGGAATGGGAATTTTTAGGACCTGCTTGGGATTTTGAGTAGTATTTTGCCAAGCCATTGGCGGCAAATTTAGCAGGAATATCATTTTTCGGTCCATTAAGTTGCGAGAGCTTTATTTGAAGCCCGATTATGACGTTTATTAATTTGTCATTGCTTCATAGTCACCGGTTCCACTTTGGTCTCATTTTTAATTAATTAATTAAATGATTAATTAATTTGATATACGAATGACCTCGACCTCAACTGTATCGGCTGTTTGAAATCGTCAGTCCATAGTAGGACTTCAAGTACCTGATTAGTGTGTACAAGCATGCAAGGAAGTAGGAAAGATACTAATTAAGAGGCTCATTTTCGGTGGATGATGTAATATTATAGAGCAGAAGATTAGATGCAGCGAACTGCGTGAAGTGTTCCTCCCATGAACAAAAAAAGTATCGCAGTTAATCTATTAATGTGTGCAACAGTGTAATTATATACAATGTTGCTTTATGTACATGAAACAAAATATTAAATACATGTTGATGTATTAAAGTTGCAAGATACATTTAAAAAACAAATCGGTTGATACACCTACAGCTCCCCGCAGTCCTCCGAGCCTGCAGTCCTAAGTGAATACCGCCCTCAACGACAACTAGGCTGCACAGAAACTGCCCAAAATGAAGGAGAATTGTGGGGGGGGGAGGTTCACAACGTTGGCTTTATCAGATGAAATTGCTCTATCAAATCTAATATCTCGCCATTTTGTCCATTTCAGGTCAACTTACCTGCGCATGTACGACTCCAGCATGTAACGATACTGGGAGTGTGACGTGTAGCGCTGTGACGTCATGCTACACGCAATATCTTGATCGGCGTGACGGAAGTTCACCAATCACGCGTGGTTGTATCGACGAGAAAACGCCGTTGCTTTGTGAAAACAGGTATATTCCTAGAAGTCATGAAAAATTTAGACGAAATCACTGCAACTTGTCCAATTACTGATATTATGCCCGCTTAGCTCTTTCCAAGGAATCGCCATTAATACTACAGGTTTCAAGTACTGTACTTAAGTTATTACGTACAAATACATTCAACTTGAATGGCCCAAGTCTTCCAGTGCAGCCTCACTTTTAACCCAAAGGAGGGCGCTATGTAGAGAGGATAAACTATTCTGTTTTTGTATCCACTCCAAATAGCGCCCTCCTATTGTGTCAGTCATTTCAAAAAGGCTAAAAGGGACATTGATTGCGCTCACAGCAGTGGCTTAATACAATCAGAGTATTGTATCGCACCTGTGGAATATTAATTGTCACTCATTGGAACACTGGTACTGGAACGATGGTTATCTTTGGCGTATCTCAGACTCGTCTTTCCTTCACGACCTTATCTCACGTGATACGTATTTGTTTTCCTCTTCGTCCAGGAGACCGTTTGTTCACGTGACACCTTGGCCACATCTTCAATGCTGTAAGGAATCGATGTGTAACGCAGATACTGTCATCATAACACCTCCTATGTGGCCGAGGAAAGCTTCACAGAGTACCACAGCCCAAGGTGACATCATACCGACATTAACCCTTACTTCTATGGAGTATACCGAAGTTTTTCTTCGTATTCTGGTTCACGCGCATAGCTTAAGTGTGACATCAACCATAGACAAAGAATAAGATTTATTCTATGCATGTATCTATGGACATCAACGCGCTAACCGGCGCGTGAACCAGAAAAAAAGATGACATCACACTTCGGTACTCTATGGCATTTAATTTCGAAATAACTTTTTGTGCTAACACAAGTGGGAAAAAAAGAAGTGAGAACAAAATTGTCGACTTGCTCTTTTGTACACTGTCTGCTTGAACTTTTTGAAATTGTGATTAAAAGGTTCATGCCTAATTTCCAACTTTTATATTTTGTCTTTTCAGTCTTTCTACGGGACAGTCATCCTCATGAAAATTCGAAGCTACCAGCCCATGACTCTGAACAATACACTGATGACAACTTTCAACATCCAGTAATGGTCATTGTTCTGCCCGTTGTTGCTTTGTGTCTTTTTGTCATCCTGCTCATCGTTGTTATCGTAGTGGTCAGACAATCACGCACACATCACAGAACTGGTGAATCTGGCGCCAATATTCACGCCGCCGGGTTACCCGACAGTCATTGCAGGGGCAAGTTTTATAACACTGGTGACCCGTACATCAGGGAGAAGTTTTTCAACAGCGTACCAGTTTGATGGTTGGTTTCGATTGAATGGCAGGTGCTAGTATGGATTTACCACTTGCTACAGGGTGAAGTGATGGGATTCAACTATTACAGATATTAGGTTGTTTCTTATCGAGTGATTAGTCCTGCCTTAGAGTAGAACTTACAAGGCATCTGATTGGCTCAATTGCAAGATATTTGAAAACGTTAATGTAAACAGAAACGTTGGAAAGAACCTTCAACAAGTGTAGTCGTCTTTGCCATTTGAACAATAGGAGAAGAACGATGGATTTCTCGGCCCGCCTTTTCAAGACCAAGCTTCCAAATCGTAAACTTCATTTAGTTTTAGGCCTAGTTTCAGGTTTCATGTCAGAAGGCCGCACATTTCATGTTGCAGATTTGTCTCTTCAATCATAAAATCCGTTTATGTAGAGGGCTATCACGTACACGTTACACGAATTTGAATACGTTGTATCTCTATCTACATCAGCTTACGATCAGCAGCAATGAACAATTTGTTGTAAGTTATTTTTTTTTCTAATGGACGACCATAATGTCTTGTAAGTAGACAAACATAAATATAATTTTAATAATCAAAAATTGCTATCAACGTTTCTAACTGACACTTGCGATTTGGTGCGCATTATATTTTCAGTGAACTATATATAACCCATATTTAAAAACTCATTATTTTCATAATTATTTATTTCAGCAGGTCAGCATGACCTTCTCCCAATTCCATGATCCCGGGTTCCCTTCATCTATCCTTTCCTACCACCCACCCTTTGCCCCTAGGCTGTCCTCATAATAACCACCAGAGACATTTACTAGAGTCTTGCCTTTTCCAGGATTCATAATTCTCAAGATTCTGTTCCAACGCTTGTCACTCATCGGTCCAATATAGCTAATTATAAGGAGCTAAAAAAAATGGGTTTTCGATAACAAATTTCCTAATCGAATTATTGACAGTTGGGATTCAAACCTTCCCGACAAGATCGGTTATTTTGCTCGCAGTAATTACCATGCATGAGTCACTAATTTATATTTTCTCACCGTGGAACCTGGGTGAGGTGATCAATGAACCTTTTTACACCAATTGAAAACGATGGTTATCACGTTTGCAAGGGAATAAAGTCGTCATTGTAAATAAAAAAAACCTGGGAATTATTTAATTCCTATCAAATTCGCCGACAAACTAGTCAACGCATTATTTTTAAAATAAGACTTTTTCGCAATATTTGTGAGTCAGCTGTTTTTCCAATCACACAGGTCAATATTTTACTCACTTATACAATGATTACTTGATGTCAAGAGGTTCAACCTTCCTCATGAAATCCCTCTTCAGGAAGCCGAGACACGTAGTGTGACTGCAAACGCTTTCGGGCTCATTTCCCCATTCATGTACACCTCATGTTTGCAAGTGTCTTTTCTTCCTCACTTTGGGTGTCTGGTTAGTATGACTTTTGACGGACAACGGATGTTATGGATTATAAACATGTGTGAAGAGAAGATAGCTCAAAGTTTTCTTAAATAAAATCCATAGACCGACCATTCATATTCTGTTGTAAATGAGTATCAGCAACCCATTATTTCATTCTCTTTTGGCAACAGAGATCCTTTGAGGGTCCTTTGAAAGTGTGATGACTGTTTGAAGGTTTAGTGTGGTAGGTAAATATTTGGGAAAATTGCAAAACACGCACACACTTTACCAAGTGAATGTGGCACAAAAAGGACTTTCTTCTAAAGGTAAACTGAGCACGGTTTGTGATATGATGTCACGGTGGAAATGAATAAGTTGATCTAATCGAGCACGTGCAGGAACCAGATAAACGATTTGAAATATTCCATGCACGCCTCGAGCTGTGAGACCCATGGGGGCGCCATTCACCGTCCCTACTGTTAATCAACATCCATCAATTTCAAAATGTTATAAACTATTTGACCTTTTTTTTATATATATATCATCTGAGCATAGCATGACGGAAAAATGAGGCATCCCAGGGGTCAAAAGGTCAACTTTAAGTAAAACCAGCTTAGATGTCACGAATCTTATAATCAAACGTTTCCTATCCAAATCCACATTTATGTCTATAGCCAAGCTGGTATCTATGGAACAGGGCATTGTGGGAGTTTGGGAAAAAGCTCAATGAAATTTTAACCCCACGTTTGCAGCCTTTTCTATGGAGAATAGGAACAGCGCCCTCTCTTGATCCGAAGATTGTGCTGAAGTCGAGAAATACTCTTTTGTAGAGCAAACAAATCTTTTAAAATGTATGTTTATAATTATTTATGAAAGCGATTACTGGCCTGTGCTAAGCATGACGCGTCAGGAAAAGATTCTACCATAGCTGTTCTCGGTTTGACCTAAAAGTGGAGAGCGATGTGTTTGGGGGGGGGTGCAATTTTTGTAATCAATATCAATTTGTTTTTTACGTCTTGATTCGCAAGTTCCTGCAAAATAATGAATGTTCATTTCTTGTGTTCTGATGGGGAATGTTTGCCTGGCCGTTTTCAAGTGTACGATCCGGAACTGTGCGCTAAAATAGTTCTCAGGGCGCCGCTAACTCGTTGCTCTAGAGTTCAGGGGAATACTCCAAATAGAAACAAATCTTGGCCCAAATGGAGCCGAACCTTCCTCAGCTGTTGACCAGATTGGCCCTCTGGGAGGATTTATGGAAGCCAAAAAATTACAACTTCTTCCTTTGAAGGGTAGGTTGCTTATTTGTATGTGTGCTTGAGCAGAATGAGAACGGAAGAAGGTAGTTCGTCTGTCTTACATTTACTAACAGCAGGAATAAACACAATAATTGAAAATGATGTGAATTCATTTGCCAGAATTGTAACTCAACATACATAACCTGCTACGCCAGATTGAATGGTACGCGCATCTCAAGAATGGTACGCGAGGCGCGTACGCGAACGCCGGACACACACTCAAAGATGAAGCTGAAATACAGTCCAAGCTTCGACTACATGGGCGCGTGCGCGTTGATTCATGTGGGACATTACATACACAGTCCCAGGGGTTAAGATCGCGCAAGGCATGATGGGAACCAACATGACGCAGCAAGATCGTACACATGAAAACGAGGTTGCTATGACAGTCCTCGCATTGATATCTAGTTCGTAAGTGACTGCGTCATCGCACGCACCACTCATTACAATATCGCCCATTGGCTAAACTCTCCAGTTGCAATTACTTCCGGTTCCATTGGTTCCAATACTATATACCTTGAGCAAAACGCAAGGTTAAGTTGAAACGACGTCATACTTACGAATCAGATAGGGCTTACGTCTGAACTAGTCTGAACTAGTATGAACTAGTCTGAGTATCAGCCGTTGCGTTGTCCAACAGATTCCTCTCCGTAACCAAAGTCTGGTATGTGAGAAATGCAACCTCGCGCGCCAGCCAATCGGAGTCGACTTTAGAAATTGTGATGATCATTTCGATCAGAAATGTGGACTGAGCTGTTGACTGGTCAGTTTGGCAACCATTATTTCGTAATACACACAACAACGAGTTACCGAAGACCCGATAGAAGCTGCCCTCTGATTGGTCAGAATCTCGAGGTCAAGACGCAGTCTTGTTTTGTATAATTAATCGCCAAATCTGCTCGCATATCATGGACCCTTGATATGCATGGAGATATTCCGCACACTACGTCTGAACATGGGACCCAATCAAGTCAGAAGTTAATTGCCGTCTTCCAGATTTCAAAGTCAAAAAGGTCAGGGTTTTTTTTACCCTACGTTAGATTTTAAAGTGTGCAAGGAATTTAATTTAAACAATGCCTTATAACTTATAACAGGGTCATATAAAGACTCGAGAAAGTTCAAACTATTTTAAATTTTCGAGCACTCTCTTTTTATTTCCTATTCTGTAAGGGCCTGGGAAATCATTTAAGGAAACGCTATAAATTGAGGCTTATGTTATCGGATAGGTAACATCCGACGTCCAAATTAAAACCAACGATTCGCTTCCACTGTTAATATTCAAGTAAAATACCTTCTCTATTTAGTTTGATGTAGTTTTCTGATATGAAAGAACGATAGGACTCGGGAAGGCATCTATCCGACTCGCATTTATATCAATTTCCAGTCCGATAGCAACCCTGATCACGGTCCAATCCATTCTTTACTTGCGGAATATTTTGAACTAATCTCGTGTGAAGGTCAAGGCTGACGTAAGTTTCGATTTCTGAACTCCATCTTTGAGCCCCCCCCCCCCCCCCGGCGCCTCCCCCGAGTACTGACCAGTGCATGAGAGTTGGGTATTCGCAGCGCCAGAGTCTCTTAACATTTTCCGAAGATAGATTTTTTTTTCTGTTCTGATGTTTCTAACAATGGTTACATATGGGTCATGTGACAGAAGGTAAACTCTACCAACCCACAATAGTTTACCCTCTGTCTTTTTTCAAACAACTTAAATCAGAATATGCTCGAGTTTGTCTTGTGATTGCTTGCGTTTGTTTGCGCCAAGGGAAGGTGCCATTTATGAGTACCGACAGATAATCCGACGCGGATAAGTAGCTAATCCCTGATTATATGGATCATTTTATCCATGAGTTTTATCAGATAATAAAGGGTGGTTTTTGTCCCAGTTTGCTTGTTATCTTCATGTTTAATGTATTCCTGACATATGGAAGATTTCTTATCGGCAGATAAGATTAGTTTGCCCGAGAGGTGGCGCCTGTGGGATATGAATAATCTGCTATTGAGTTGCAATGTTAGATGAAGTGATGTTTGTCAATCTAAGGTCACGTGACTTGAAAACCTGCAGGAAGAGGGACGATTGCAATGTGCTTGGTCACGTGACCCATTGAATGTGTTTGCACACCATGTTTCTATGTTTCTATACATTGTTATTTTGAACTTCATTTTGCAACTATTTTTATCTTTACAGTTTAAAGCTCCAATCGTTTTTTTTGCAGAAACATAATTAAATGTACTAAAGATTTCTTTAGTTGCAGGATTTTTCTATAAATTAAAAGTCATATTTTAACGACTTTTATACATTTTTCTTTGCCTATTGCCTGTGGTTTTTCATATCTTTAAGGCCGAAAACCCCCTCGTATTATGCAGTTAATCTATAAACAAATTTTAATTTTTGTTTTACTTTGATTGGTTGGCGACTACAAACCAGCTGGCAAACATACTGATACAACAAGACACGCAACCATGCTGAGACCACCGGCATTGCCAGCTGAATTATTAAAAAAGAAGAAATGATATAATATTGTCTCCCGCACGGAAACACGGTGTAGGACAAGCCAAGCAGCGCCGGTGCGCCGCGGCTTACCTCCCGTGGTGAGGTGGATGACTGCCCGGTACACTGATCAATAGTTCCCGTCTCGTACGGGACAAACTCTCGCCATCAGAACAAACAAAAGCCTGACCAGATGTGGAATATTAATCATGAATTTTATCAAAGGCAGACGCGTTTCGGTCTCTCATTTCTGATGGACCTGCTCATAATTTGTATTGTAATATTATGAATGGATGAGTGGTACTTTGTTTGGTCTGTACTTGAAAAAATGTAGCCTATATATATCACATGGTGTGTGTAAATGGGATGAAATTAATAAGACATGCTGTTTTGGTACATACTTAAAAAACGAATTGTTCAAGGTAAAATAAGTGTTTTAATATGTTAAAGTCATGGCCTTTAATTTTAGCCTTTAGTAGGATTCAGAGCTTGGTATTTCGAGAGCCGCGTTTGTAACAATGATGAAGATGCATTTGGTCCGGAAATCTTCATTATACTTCACTGATTAATAGCTGCGGTGCTGGAAAAGCGATACAAATGATACATTATATCGATTCACCTGTTATCCAATTAGATGCAGCGAAAATGTGAAACATTCATACTCTCACAGCTCTGATAATCTGATTATGTTTTTGTTTTATACCACATAAGTTTAATTCAGTTAGCCGTATGTTTGAAATCCCAGGCATAATGTAACGATTTATCCTGGATGCTCGTGTCTTTATTTTGCTACAATAGCCCGCTGTGTGGTGAAGAAATACAAATCATTTAAGTGATACAAATGATAGAGGTTATCGCATGTTAAGTAAGACAGATAACCTTTACCATGCGTGTACACACACTGATACCGATTGATATATAGTTAGTTTCCGATGTGGTATCTTTCAATTATAAAACACATGCGAGCAAAATTAATGACAAAATCTGGTGATGCGAGTCGGAAAAGTACAAATTTGCCATCGCTAAATCGTTCATTTAGACAAAACGAAACGGTATTATTCCAGATGAAGTTTTAGCCCTCTGTTCCCTGATTGGTGCAAATTGTAACAGAGATAAAGTTTCCCATTGAGTACTTTTGAGTTTCCTTCAAAATGTGATTTGCAAACACAAGTCATGCATTCTAGTCTGGGGGTGTTTGATTTTTAACAAGCTTATTTTTTAATCTTGATTCAGTTTTTTAAATTAAGGACTGAATTCTGCCAACAAACTCAATATTCGGATTTAAATAAAAACAAACTTTGAAATAAATGCCTGCTGAGTTTGGAAAAAGCTGTGATCTTTGGGAAAATAATTATAATTTATATAACAATAATTACAATTTCTGATATTTCAATTTTAGTCAACCCTGATGAATATTCATAAGTCTTCTTTTAGTGATGGTGGCCCCTAACTACGAATACAATGAATCACCGTCTGTCTCGCCGGCCGATGGCGGCGTCACTGTCATTTCTGGTGACTTGACACGAACAATAAAGAGACTCGTCTAGGTATCCGGCCGGCTACGCTAAT